TCTTCTCCCTCCTTTGCTGCCAGGACCAGATGTCTTACTTGCACACCCGACTTCTGTGGTTCCTGGCTAATATGGGTTTGCTGCACGTACAGCATGTTCTGTTCTACCATGGGTACGACACACATGCAGCCTGTGCATCTGTCATGCTGGAGTTGCCTCAGAGGGGCATAATGCAGTCGTTCCACCAGCAGCCTGCTTCCTGCTCAGCCTGAGCAAAGTGCTGGCAGTGGGAGGCAGGTATTTCAGTTCTGGGCTGTGCAAAGTCCCGTGCAGAGACAGTGTATGTCCAGAGGCACACCTGCCACTAGCTCAGCTTCATTTGCTTTGCAGCATCTTCTCCAGTGCCTGCAGGAGGGAAACCCCATATGCTGCTCTTGTGATTACGTGAGCACATTTTGGTCGCACTTCTAGTGTTGAAGAGGTAAACTGTCTCAAAGTCCTAGCTAAAAAAAAATATGGAGAAGAGGAGGTGTTACTAAATCAAATCAGAATTGCCCTTATTCTGAAAACACATTCTTAATGGAGTCTTCTGACAATTTAAATAACCAGGCTGAATAATTCACTTGACAATTCACAAGTCCCGTGTCTTTGTGTGCACATGACACAGGCCCCTGGCTTACCTAGAGAGCAGTCCTATTTAGTTTAAGGTACATATACATCTAAAAGCTTTGAATAGCCCAGGGCATCAGTTTACACTGCCTTAATTATCATACAGTATCTGTGGCCAATGTAATATAACTAGTGACTCTGACACTGCAGGCTTAAGCTACCTCATGATTACTGCAGAGCAAGGATTTGCCCAGGGCAGACCTCATGGAAAAAAAGTGCTGTAAATTCACTTGGCTTATCTTATGGTAAATCATGTGAAACTGATCTGGCATAGGTTGGTGTTTTCCTGCCAGTTTGATTAAATCAATTTATTACCACAATTTAAGTAAAGTTTTCTTTGTACAAGCTAGTGAACAGAAGTTTCAGTTTTACAGTTGTGAGCATAATTTCCCAAGAAACATAAATCAAACCAAACCAAATATAATAATACTTAGACTACAATAAGTAAAATCACAAAGATTTTGGTTACATCACACTTCCTTGTGCAGCTAAGGCTTTCAGAGTGCATATGTTTTTACACATTTGACCAAATCTGAGCATCTACAGAAGTCACCCTTTAGGGAAAGGCTATTCTAACTGTGGGAGAGACTCTTCTGTTGGGTTGTTTTTACTTCAGAGCTGTCCCTGCTTTGAGCAAAATGTTGGACTAGATGATCTCCTGAGACCCCTCCAACCTGAATTAAACTATGAGCCATGATGTGAGCTGGCCACTGAGCCTCCCGTAGGCAGTGAACAGCAACATGCATTTCTAGGGAATGAGGTCATTTCATGGGTATAAGCATGAAATAAACATTTTGTGTACTGTGCAATGCTGCTTTTATCGCTCCTATCAAATGTTTCCTTTTCTGAAGGAGGAGCCCTCTTCTATGATCCTCACAGACCTTCAGTGCTGAGCTATCTTCTAATACATCTCACAGTGCTGTCATGACTATCCAGGTATTATAGATGGTTGCAGAATCCAGGTCAGGACCAACTCTTAGGAAGGCAATGAAGAAAGAGTGCAGACAGAATTCATTGGTATCTGCAGCAACAACTCATTGGACAGGTTCAGTCTATAAGCTACATTCATTACAAAGAATCAGTATGGAAAACTTAACAATTTTGGGGAGCAGATACAGGCTGCAATCTCATAATTAGAGCAAGCTGCCCACTTGACCTATTTTTAGCCACGTTCATCTTAGTTCTTCATAGTTCTTCTAAGTGTTCCATGCAGCAGGATGTCCCCAAAGCGCTGTAGGGTCAAGACATGGAAAGAAGTGCTACTTTTACCTGTAAAGACTATGAAAGAAATAATTATATGGGCAGAGGAACTTACAAAATCTAATTTCCTGTGATGCACTTGCTAGCTGTCATTCTTTCATGTGCTCTTTCTGTGGGTTTTGTAATTTCTAATATTGTGTCTGATAATGTCATATTTCAGACTTTACTCCCTTGGGTTACATAAAGCAGCGCTGATCTTAATGAAGCAAGCTCTTAATGCTTCCTGCTCTCACTGAGATTTGTGAGAAGCAGCCACAAGAAGGTCTTGTCATAACCATATTTTTGCAGAGTGTGTCCAACTGGAACAAACTGAAGTACTGGAAGATATACCAGCAGGGATGCTGTAAAAAAAGCAATGGAAGTATTAATCCAATGAGTCTTAGACACCAGTCAGTTTTTTTCCTTGCTTCCTTCACATGACCAAAGGACTTAGAGAAAATGTGTGGAAAAAAGAAAGGTGTGAAAACTGCAGAACTAAATGACATCTAAGGATCTCTTGAGAGAATAAGATCCCATATGATGTTCAGTAAAGGAGTGAGCTGACCTGCTTTTTGCTTCTCAGTGGGGTAGTGATCACTTGTATTTAATCTAGTAAAAAATGCCAGGGACTGTTTTCAATCTGGTCATCATCTGATAACAGGGATCACACCTAAACTCTACAGGCTCCCTGACCAGGCTAGTTCCTGCTGCATGTATCAATCCCACCTGTGTCCAGCATTTTTTGAGGCAGAACTCTCTAGCCTATGACAAAAACATGCCACAGATTGTATTTGCACTTGAACGGTAGAGTGTTATCATGTACCAAAGGTCAGAAATATGGCCTGGATCTCTCCTTTATTTAGTGACAATGTAACTACAAGCTTATTTTCCTCTAGGCAGTTTGATAACTCATAGAAATCTTAGTGTTATTTTAGGAGAATAAAATTGATATATTTGGCTGAGACAAATATTATAGAAAGTATAATATTTATTCTAAAAAGTATAACATGCTTCTTAGCTGGAAGAGGCAGGAACAACTTGTGGCACATATCCATCCATCCATCCATCCATCCATCCATCCATCCATCCATCCATCACAAAGCTGAAGCAGCAAATTTAGGCTAAATAAAAGTTGGGGAAAAATTGTACTTTATTTAAAATAATTGTGTTAACTCCATAGAAAAGTGGCATTTGCAACAAAGCCCCAGTAGTACCAAATCTGATCAACAATTTTCAGTAGTTTTGTCTCCTTGTTACCATCTTAACTCTTGCTAAGAAAAAAAAAACAGACCAAATTTTTTAACAGACAGATTCACAACAGCTTGTGCATCAGGACATGTTTGGCAGTATGTGTCTGACAGGAATTTTTCTGCCTCCTAGAAAAGTTCTGCTAAATATTCATGCATTTCCCATTGAAAGAAACCTGATTCTTGGCCAAATGAAGCTTATTAGCAGACAGAAAAGGAGGGGTCCTTCCTCCCTACTGCAACGCCGATCATTGTAGGTTTTGCATCACACCTGGTCTCTGCAAACAGATGCTCTTAAACCCAAATTAATCTACCATGGAAATGATTTATAATTTGAGATATTGCCAATTCAAGACATTTTTTTGAAAGGTTGTTTTTAAACTTTTATGTAGAATTCATAATTTGTGGGGCATTTTTCATCACCATCTGTCTATCAGAGGTGACTAAAAAAAATCTGTATTGTGAAAAATGTTCAAAACAGACCATGAATATTTCCTTTAATATGTTTTCTTCTTTTGACAGAGGTCTCAAAAATATATTTTCTAATATTGAAAACCAGGAAATGTTATTAAAAATCTTAATTTGTTTGGGAACACTTTCAATATGAACTGTTTCATACTCTATTTTTCTGCTGGAACCTTTTTCTAAACAGCTCAACACATTGAGATGAGTGACCCAGTCACAGGAAGGGCTCTGATTTTTTGGGTACTCAGTACCAGCTGCTGCTGAGTTATTTGTGCCTGGGGTCAGGATGGATGTGTTTGGAACAGAGATGAAATGAGCCTCCGTGAGGGTGGGAGCTGTCAGCACATGCTTCAGAAAGGATGACAGGAGAGTTCATATCTCTACCCCAACCCCTTGCTTAAAGTAGGGGCGGCTCCAAGGTCGGACCAAGCATCTCAGGACTTTACCTAATTTAGTCTTGAAACTCCCACAGGATGGAGGGAGGATGCACTGTCCTCACAACCTGCTTAGGTGTCTTCATGGGGAAGAAGTCCCTATTCATATCCAGGCTGAACCCTGAACCCTGAACCTCTCCCCTTTCAACTTGGAGTCTTTCACTGTCAAACCAAGCAGCACTGTGAAGAGCCTGGAACCATTTTCCTGAAAATCCCCCTATAGGTGTTGGATGTGACCTTAGGGTCCTCCTGCCAAAGCTATCCCTCATCCAGCCCAACCAGCCCAGGTGTTTCAGACCCTCCACTCCAGCCCAAACCAACCTGGACTGAACTTGCTGCAGTTTATCAATGATGTCCCTGTACTGGGGAACTCAATACTGGGCACAGGCTGAGAAAGCTGTCTCCTGAATAACTGACCTGTGGCAGGTCTGTGTGAGATTTCACTTTGCCCCATGTCCCGGCAGCAGTGGCTGCTGCCCATAACCTTCAGTGACAGAAAATACACAGCTGCACTTCAGCTGTGCCAGGGCAAAGGGGGCTTGACAAACAGCAGTAATGAGGAGCAGGAGAAGACCATGGACCTGTCCTCTGTTTCCCAGGCTATGGAGGGTGATAATTTCCAGTGGACACAAGGGCATCAGCTCCTATGTAAAGTACTAAAGTACTTCAGCCATAAACTTCAAAGTGCTTCCCAAAAGGAAGTTGGATTGCTATTCCTGTTTTGTAAATCAGGAAGCTGAGGAAAAAGGGAAGGAAGTGTTTTGACTGAATTGATCTAGCAGTTGCTGGCAGAGACTCTGAGTGCTGCCTATGCTCTGTTCTACCTCTCAGAGCAGGGACCATCCCCAGCCTCCTCAGGCTTGGAGGCATTGCACTCCATGGGCACTCCATGGCAAATTCCCACTTGGAAATCAGGCTGGTGACATGCAAACAACAAACTGTGCAGATTTGTGGCTTCAAAGTACAAGTGCTGGTGAGAAATACCATGAATTAGTCATAATCTTATCAAAAATATTTTATTTATGAACGTAACAATTATACTATACAACCTATATTGGAAATACATTGAATAATTGCTAGAATAAATACAGGCAATTAATTCAATCTTTTTATAGAATGAGAAGATTTATTTGACATTTGAATGTTAACCCAAGCTTTAACTTACATCATAAATAGTTAAAAGGCATAGTCAAGTTTTTTTGATTTTTACCGTTTCTCTTGCTTCTTTTTAATACTGTTCTATTTTGTAATCAACATGAATCAACTCTCCAATCATTAACATAATATTAGTATGACTTTCAAGCAATCATGTACCTCAAGATAATCAGACAATAAGGTAGTGTGTGTGCAGTTCATTCTACAGCAGAATCTATTCATGTCTGCATAAAAAAGAGAAGCTGAAAATGCTTCTGAGTTCTTTAAGCATCATATGCTGATTTCTGCTTTACCACAGTGCTTTTAATACCAGAATCTAAAAAGGTCAGCTGGTCTTTCTGTTGCTCTTTATAAAGTATATTAGGGCTCAATGCCACATTCCTTTGGCTGGTGAACATCTGCAGAATTTAGTCCTGAATATTATTTCTCAAAACTATGGTCCAAAATAAATGTCCAAGACTGATTATTAGGCACCAAGGAAGTGATGCATTTGCTAAGGCTTGATGTTTTCTGATAAAAAAAAAATTGGCTTATTTTCTGGTAGATATGCTGTAGTCAAAAACAAATTATTGGGCTCAGTACTGGGGTCTGTATTACCCTGGATGTCAGAGAAGGAGATGTGTTTATTTCCTGTAAACTGTACGAAGGGCTCTGCGGAAGGTTTATAGTACAACACACACATTTTGAAAATGTTGGTAAGGTTTTCGGTACTAGCAGATTATGAACAACTATGACCATCAGTGAATTCAATAGCAGTTTCAGATGCCCAATATTTTTCCAGATCAGAAGTTTTTGACTGCTCAGGTCCCAAATAAAATCAGTGGGAGGCTTTCCATAGCAATGTCTTTTCCAGTGGCATGGAGGCCTGCATTGCCTTATTGTTTATTGTGCATGCCAGGGATATTAAGTTCTCAGCAGAGAAGGAAATTTCCCTTTCACAATGTTACCAAAACAAAAAACCCAAATTGCACATATCTACCCCTTTGGCCTTTTATTATGCACAAATATGCTTGTATGTAAAACCTGACAACTTTGGGCCTTTCCTAATAAATTCCTTAAAAGAGCACATTTAAATGCTTTTTCACAGAAATAACCATTCATTAGTTGCAAAAATGCAGAGAGACTTTTTATTCTTTCTGTTGTGAACAATATCATTTCAGCAGAAATTTGGGGGGAGAATGTATGATTTTTTTTGTCCCCAAATATATTCTAAAAGGCTAAAGAACAAAATGTTGGGGAGGCAGCTTTTTTTGGCAGATAGTAAAATATAAAATATGTGATTTAAAAAAAAAGTTGGCTTAAAAATACACACACACAAATAATACAATAATATAAAAATACAGCTCAGCCAATGGCCTCTTAAAATTTACCTTTGGCATTACATTTGGCAGCCTAAAACAAAAGACCCTTCCTATAAACAGAACTATAAAAAAAGAGAAGTTCATAAATTAGGTTGCAAGGGGTTGTACGGTCCTTTTCTTGTTTCTCCAAACTCCCTTTCTTTCTGTCCACACACATAAGCATGACCAGTGAGGTATATAGAACGTAACACTGTCAGGCATATGCACAATAAAAAAGTGCATAAACATAGAAGTTCTCCCCTTTTCTTGTGAACAGGTCGTAACTGTGTGGTTTGCGTCCTTCCCCCCTTGGAAACAAAAAAAAATATCTTTTTTTCCTTTTTTTTTCTTTTTTTTTTTCTCCTTACTTTGGCAGGATGAAAATGAACCCAGAGGAATATAAGTGTCCTATTCCCAGCAGCAGTGATCCATTTCCCTTGGCAACATATGTCTGATGCCACAGATACTACAAGGTCGTTGGGTTGCTTTACAACTCTGGGTAACTTCCCACGGAAACATCATACGTCTAGCACCATGTCGTAGTGTTGTTGCTCTTTCTTCCGCCTGCCACATTTGTTGATAAGAACCATGTACAAAGTCAAAAGCAAAACCCAGTAACATGCATAGAGTATTGTGCCAATGATGAGAACTGTCTGTTTTGACTCAGAAAATGGCTTTTTTGATTCCTTGTAAATAGTGAAAATTACGCCACCTAGGAGGATTGTAAACCAAATGGAGACTGGAATGAGTCCTATAAAATTAACTACAATGGTTTTCCTTCCTGACGTGCCCCACCCTGCTTTGTTTATCGTGGCAATTGCAAACATCTTTGCTGGCAGTAAACTTGACATGTACAACACTGAGTAGAGTGACATGAAAACCATGACAATGTTGCCCCTAAGGAAGCTGGCAAAGGAAGACTTTATCAGGCCAACTAACTGAACTGTCAACAGGAAGAGGAGAATGTTCCAGATTTTTCCCCTGTAGAAGAGCTGAATGACTGTGGCAATAAGGAAGAAAGGAAAGAATCCAGTGATTACAGCTTCATAGGTCATCCACAAATGGTGCTTGTGGAACCACATGGCATTGTAAAGCCACTCTCTAAAGTAGGATTTACTCCAGCGGGTCTGCTGATTCAGCCACCTGAGATACTCTATCGGTGTTTCCGTAAGGCACTTGGATCTAGCTGTGTATTTTGTTGCATAGCCCAGACTTAGCACTCTGTTAGTTAGATGCCTGTCATCTCCAAAGCTGCACTGGGAGCCCATAAACTCTTGATTGTACCAATCTTCCACAAATTCATGGAGTAAAGAGTTTCTGTACATTCCCAGAGGTCCGCTGATGCACTGTACACAGCCAAAGTAGGACTGACAGGCTCTTTCAATGTTAAATGCCATCCAGTATCTCACACTGCTCAGAAAGGAGATCCAGGAATCGTATTTGTTCAAAATCTGCAAAATAAAAAAAAAAAATTCCCTTCAGATGAGCTCTTAAAACAGAAAATGTGCACATTGGATCAATAAGGAATTTGCTGAGACTGGAGTACCATTAGATGAAACGTGGTGGGAACCTCACTCCTGTATCCAACTCATGGCAAATCCAGGAGCTATGCAAACATTTCAGCCAGGACATTGTCAGGAAGGGTGATATGAAACCTTCAAATGTCTGTTTCACTGAGAACTTCTTTTTTTCCTTGCAACCTTTCCTACTCTCCACCAAGAAATCTCCTTATTTTCTGTGTCATTCTTCCATCTCTTTTTCTCCCAGTTAAAGACCTGCTGGATTTAGACGTTCCCAAGAGGAGCTTGGGAGTTCATGGCCTCCTGCTGCTTTTCTGCCCAAGCACATTTCTGGGACCCACAGGACTCCTTCTAGCCCTCCCAAAACTATGCTGGAGCATGAGAAAAGCTGAGCACACGGTCTTTTCTCTACATTTTTGGTTAACCAAAGAGGTTTAACCCTGAACTATGTTCTCATATCCAGCATTAGGTCCTCTGAGGAATAACCTGTTCTGTCACTGCAGTACCAGCCTGTTACCTTGTCCCAAGACATATGGTAATACTCCAGTAGAGTCTTGCTCAGGCCCACATAAATGTCTCAGTCTTTCTGTTCTGCACAACCCAACTGCACAACCCAACTGCACAACCAGTCTGAACACTCAGTAGATGTATGAGCGCATGCAGATGCGCAAGTCTGTGGCTTCACATCCAGGTTATCAACACACACCTTGTGCCAGAGGATGTGACAAAGAAATGTGTGGATTTTTGGCCTTCTACAATTATAATGCATTGCCCTGAAACTAGAAAAAAATAATCTTTTGCTCTGATTCTCCTAATTTCTGTCAATTTTAATTCCAGAACATATTAGAAGCAGTATGGCTTGGGGATAGGCTCAAGACTGGCTTAAATGTATTTGGTGTATGCTGGAAAATGAACTGGGGGGGAAAAAAGCCCAGAGGCTTCATTCTGTCACCTTTCTGCACAGAGGACACACATCCTTCCAAATTCAGATGCTTACGAACCTTCACTGTCACAGCTGAACCTGTACTGCCTTCCCTCACTTGTAGTCACTCACACATGCCTGGAATTTCACATGCATAGGCTGTGTATGCCTGGTTTGTGGACAGTCTAGAACTCCAAAGCTATTCAGGTTTCTGTGGGAATCCTAATTTCTGGAGTTACAAGCCACATGCCTGAAATACTTCTGACTACTCGGGTGTTCATTAGCAAGTTCTTGCTCATTTATAAGATTCTTTCTCCTCTGTCTCACATAAAAAGCCCAGCTGAGTATGGAGGACTGATCTTAAGGCCAACTGAAATAGGCATACACATTTCTCTTTATAAATTGCAGCAGAAGCAGTTATGTCAAAGGGAACCAACAGCCTTTTGCTGTAGTAATCAGCTAAATTCAGTTATGCTGAAAAATCCCAACACACATGGAACTGGTCTGACTTGGAAGTTTTCTATTGCCCTGCCTGACAGACATGGGAGACCCAGCAACACACAGAGTGCACAGTATTTCAAAATTACTTTTATTTCTAGCAACCTTGGCTACTAGTAGTCAGTAAATATAATTTAAGTGCTTGAAGTTGCTGAACATGGCTTTGGGAGACCTGTTCTCAATTCCTTGTTCCCCTGTAGCTTTTCTTTGGTACCTTGAGCAAGCAGCTATACCCAGAGGCTCAAAGATGCCACAACAGTCCAGACAATGCCAGTGCCCCCCTTTTCACACATAGATGGGCAGAATATTATTTGTTTGCTTGCTCTGGATGTTAAAACCATACAGTGCCCATATCCAAGAAGAGATTCCATTCAATGAACTAAAAGATTAAGGTATGATAAGAGCGTCTATAATGGCATCACATATATATATGCACATAAATATACACATAAATTATATTTAATGCTAGTTCAGGAAGAGGAATCTGTTGCAATGCAAATAGTTGCTGAAACACTTCTGTTATCTGAAAATTGTTGTACTCACCTGCACATCACCTCCAACTCCTCCAACCATTGGATCTTCTTCTAAAACTTTTACCATCTCCACTGATGAGGCTGGATCAAGCATTGTATCTGAATCACAGACCTACAAGTAAGGAAAAAACAAGAACAAAAATGAGTTAAAAACAAGATTTTTTTTTTCTGTTAACACCACAGAAGAAAATAAAAACCATGCAAGTGGTTATAATGACTCTAAATGCATTTTCTCCTGAATGCAATTAAATCCGACTTTGAAGTCTGCACTGATGTTTCTGTTAAAGGTCACTTGTACCAGGCAGCAAGGCGTAGTGCTGCACAAAACACAGAGCTTGTTAAGGCTATGCACACAAACAATCCTCTGTATCAGCTCCATTTGTTTTATTGGCACACTGGACTGGCTTCTTTGAGTAAGATATGGGGCATTGCAGAGTAAGATGGTCTCTGTGGGCATGCAGCAGATTCCTGTTCTGCTCTGACATAGAATTTCCCTGCATAAGCTGCACAGTTGGAGTACCCTAGTCAGATGCTTCCCACTGCCATATAAGAGAAGGAGAAAGGAGTTAAATCCCAGGCAGTTGTTATTAAAAAGAATAAAAAGCCAAGTAGGAGTCTGGGAAGAAATCTAATAGTCCTTTCACTCACAGAAGGCTTTAGCAATTCATGTAAAATATTTATCTCGTATTTCAGAACAAACTCATTTTTAATTTCAGATGTATGATGTGTCATTAGTAGTGCAGGGATTTGACATTTGATGTAGAGAAATTATTTGCTATTTTCCTCTGGTATTCTTATGAAAAAATATGTAAGGCCAGAAGGCGTGAGTCCTGAAGTTCAGTACTCCAAAAGACCAAGGCAGAAGTAGATGACACACAAGGCATTTCAGCTACACAAACACTCCTAGTCAACTAAACACTGTGTACATTAGGAAATTGGCTTTCCCCTGGAGAGTAGGAGGAGGGCTCAGACAGGCTGGCTGGTCTGTGAGGCAGCTGGCAATGCTTTCATTTGCTCTGAGGAGAATGACTCGGGCTGCAGTCTGTTTAAAACAAGAGGGTGTCTCCTTGTTGCAGTTCCTGCAGCTGAAAGAACTGGCCACACCGTGTGTGAGCTCATTTCACAGACACCTAGGAACTGGAGCAGAGACTGTCCCAGAAACACCCCTCTGACCAGCTGGGTCCCACCCTAAAATTCTCATACTGCCTCCAATTTGTCCCCACATTGCATTCCTGTGACTTCAAACTGGGTCAGTAGGAGCAAGTCAGTAGCTCTGCTTAAGCAGCATATTAAGACAGATTCTGCTGAGGCTTTGTAATGGGTGTGCTAATTTTGGTTTCCTTTCATGCAAACTTTCTATCAACCTAAGCCCTCTCACTGCAGGGGAGAGGTAACACTTGTGTCTGCTCTATGAAGGGGGAGGAGAGCACTGTGGCTCTGCTCTGGACCAGACTCAAAAGGAGGGGTTACCCAGGACAGTTGGACAGCATAGCTTTGGATGCAGCTGAGACTGCAAACATGCTCCCCTCTGTGCTCGCTCAGAGGGGGCCAAAAGGAGAAAGGTGATGAAAGCTCTCATATCTCTGTCAGGAGAAAAGCCACAAGCATCTCCAGCTCCCACTAACTTGATGCATCCATCTTCTCTCCTCAATGGCCTCATCCCACAGCATCTTTTTAACCTGGCATGACTCCAGCTTTAGTGGAAAACTGTCATCAGTGGCATAGGTGACAGTGAGCAAAACAATTCTGCTGAAGAGGGGAAATAATGCCTATACTTTTACCTGGGTCTTCCTGGACAAACCTGTTGCTGAGTGTTTTGCACAGGGAATCTGTAGTTTGCTGAATTCCCTTGGTGCCCAGGCAGTGACAAGCACACCATTCTTTGTGACCATGAGTGGTGGGCTGGGATCAGCTGCCTCCCAGCCCCTTTGCTTTCCCTCCAGCATCTGTCACTTGAGCAGCTCCCACCCCATCAGATGTATTTATCTATAGCAGAAAAGCCTGCCCACGATCCACATCACTAATTTATTAGAGATGAGGAATCCTGAAAACTCTGACTTTTTGAACCAAATACCATCACATGTCCTGGGCATGCCAGCACAGTGGGTATGTCTGGATTTCTGGGACAAATCTAAGAATCCATCACTTTCCATCTGGATGAGGTTTTTGCGGGTGAACAGAGGACACACCCAGAGAAACACAGACAGGAGCCCAAATGAACACTGACACCTGCCTAGCCAGGGTGTGCCCAGGACAGCCCAAGAGACAGTTTGCCATCTTTCCACACAAGGGCCGAGTGCCTTGGCTCACAGTTAAGTGAAAGGGACAGCTGACCTTAAGGGAGCTGTTCTGTTCCTTGCCATGGGCAGTGACACTTTATCCAAGCTGCTCTGTGTTCAGACAGCACTGGGCTGTCCACACAGGCACTTCCATCATGCCAAGATGAATTGCACCCTGGCTACCTCACGACACTGCACTGATAATACCTGCCAATTTAACTCCTCCACCTGATTACTTGCACACTCATAAACTCTTCTAGGATGGAAACAAGCCTTCACAGCAGTTCCCAGTACTTAATGAGACACCACTAATGAGTAACAGCTCATTATCAGCACTAGTCTGACAGTTTATGATTGCCTGTTCATAATTCCAGCGTGTCTTTTAAGAACTATAAGGCCTACAATTTTGGGGTTGGGCAGCAATGCTGACTGGCCACCTTTTAAAGTGCTTAATCATTGATGCAGACTGCTTAGCCCTTGAAATATTTGGCTTGTTTAAAGTAATTTACCCTGGGTCACCCCAAAGGACCATTTGAAATATGTCAACCTTTATTCATTCATAAATAAAGCCACATTTTAGCTGCAGTTTTTTATGACTCTGCAGTAGCCAGGGCCACCAAAGGGCTGCATTTCTACTACAGATGTGACTGTAGATGTGACTGTGGCATTAGTCAGTACTGCAGACTGCACTCACAGCAGCACTACAGTCCCTGACAAATTCATTAGAACTTCTGAGCCAGGTCAGGAGTGTTAACTGGACAGAAATATATCTTCTATTTTCTGAGTTTTTGCTATGACTGTTGAAATAGAAACACTTTTTTCCAGGTTCCCTGGAATATAAAAGAGCTGAACTGAGTGAGGAAACTTGCAATGAATTTGCTTCCTCTCTGCCTTCGTTCTCTTCAGTCTGGTATGTCTGTGTAAAGTGATTACAAACCCATGCTAATAAAGAAAATCAGCATTTGTATAGTTCCTCACAGCACAAAACCAAAGCACAGACAATGGAAAGCTTAAGCCCATTGTTTTGAAAGAATAAATCAGTTTCAGTTTGGGAAGTGGTAGAGGATGGGTTTTAAATCTTGGCCTTACTTTCCTAGCTCCAATAACAGAGTGATTCCTGGCACTCTTCAGCTTCTGCCCCTCCTGTGCACTGAAGACTCGCTGCTCTCAGCCCAGCTACTGGCAGCCTCTCCAGGTCCCTAGGACACTGCACATGGGGGCTGTGCTGTGCAGGGCGTGCACACACACCCACACAAGGCTGGGCACCGGCCCCAGAAACACATGTGGCTCAGCCATGCAGCCGCCCTGAGCCAGCAGAGAGCACCTCGCAGGGAGCTGCTGCTCCACTGCAGGAGACTGCTGGATGCTCTGAGTGTGGGAGAAGCTGGGAAAAACTGAGTGTTGTTCATTAAGAAAATAATCTCCCATTCAGTGGCATTAGTCAAATGAGCCCTCTTGGCCTAGATTTCTAAGGAAGGGTCCTCAGTGTCCAGCCAGAGGATTTGATCCCACCTACCTTCCTCCACACATGACCCCTTCCCCTTCCCCCAGTCAGCAGGGCTGTTTGCAGGAGCAAACAGCTTCCATGTAAGTAAGGCAAAAACATAGACAATATTTCAGGGAATTCAAGGCAGCTGGAAAGATATGTGCCTCTGCTGCTTTGGAAACAGAGAGAGAGGACCCAGCCTAACTCATTTCTATGTGAGTAGTGTGTCATAAGGGCCTTAAAGGCCAAGTTGCAGTGAATGAGGTAATGCAGCTGTAAGTGATGAAGCAAAAGCTTCTTCAGGCTTTAACTGAAGAAATTTTCTTTCAAATCTACACATTAACTCTTTTATTGACTACTCCACACAGCCTTCAAAGCCCTAAAAATATATCCCCATCTTTTTTACAGACTTCACCACTTCTTCAGGATATTCCCTAGTGAGACCAAATATCTGTCTGCTCATATATGGGGCTGCTAACAAACTCACCAAATAAAGCCTTACTTGAGACCTTCACCTACAGGAGTTAAGATGGGGCTTTCAGGAGGTCACTGGCTTTGTCTGAAGCAAAACCATTTGGATGAGGGGGCAGTACTGAAGGCAGGGGAAGGATTTCAGATTTCTCCAGTAGCTGGTGCACAGATTTAAAAATGTCACAGATAGACTGGCCATTTTAAAAGGTAGCAAAATACCCTTTTAACGGTCAAGCTGTTTCCAAACAGACTGAAAGGAGCACTGTGTTCATCAGGGACTAGGATGGCCTCTAACATGCTGCACAAAATATACAAAAGCTGCTTTCTTTCAAAGTGTGTTTGAATTGGCACTGACCTGGTGCTCTAATACCTACCTGTACATAATCCACGCTTCTCCCCAGTGCTTTGAATGCTGTGTACATTACTTCTCTTTTTCCACCCCATTTCTGCATGATGCAAACGCTTTTGTTGGACAGGACCAGCTGAGATACGTGTTGCATGCTCTCTCTGTGAGACTCCTCTGTCTCACCCGGACCTTTGTCGTGGAAGTTATTACTCCAGATATAAGTGGCACAACTGTCCCTACCCATGATTTCAGTGAAAATGTCCATCATGTAAACGTCGTCTTCTGAGTTCCCATCAATGACCATAACAACTTTAATTCCAGGGTAGGTCAATCTTTTTACAGAAAGTAAACATTTTCTTAAGTAGTCAGGATCTTCTTGATAGGCAGCAATACAAAGGGCAACTGTTTTGTTCAGTTTGATTGGAGTCTCTAGCGACCGTTTCATTTTCCTGTGCTCTAGGTAGGCAAACAGGCTTTGGATGATGAGATGTGATGCCAGGATAGCACCATAGAGTCCAAAGGAGAAGTAGTAGTTGTCTGTTTGGATGAACTGGTAGCCCACAATGTAAGCAGCGGTGATTCCTAGCAGGAGGGACACCCCAAAGAGTGTGGTTCCAAGTATTCTCAGGATACATATAAACCTCTCACAATACATCTGCAAAGAAGTAGAGAAACCATTAGCAGAGCCACCACTTGCTGATGAAAGACATTAGGGGTGCATGTGGCTGCAACACAGATCTCAGCATCAACAGATAAACGCTGAGCTTCTGGTTCTCAGACTCACTGCATCCCCTTGTTCAATGTAACATCTCTTTGCAGCACTTCCTCCATGTAAAGTACCATCCAAACAGACTTAATGTAGCAGAGATGTCTTCTGCTACTCTCAGTGCCGTCACAGAAGGTGCTGTCTGTGTCAGGATCTTATTTTGGCAGCCTGGGCTGGTTGGAAAAGACACTCTGTCATATTATCCTGTGGAGGTTGGAGAAGGGGCTTTTGGGCTACCATTCACTTCATATGGCCACGGGAGAGTGGAACAGCTGAATGTCTGGGCAGCCCCTCCTCATCCCCCATCCATGTCATGACTGCATCCCACCCTGAATTGTTTCTGTCGCTTAGTTATGTTTGCAAAAATATTGGAAAGACATTCTTAAAACAGATGCCTGAATGTATTTATAAGTTTTTAAACAGATGTCTGACTATATTTGTAATTTATATTTATATAATCAGACATCTGCTTTAAAAGGTCTTCTCAATACCATTGCAAAAAATGTATTATTCATATAGCATGTACATAGACACATGCACACGTGAGCATGTGTGTATAGGGGCTAAAGCTTAACTGACATTAAGTCTGTGACAAAAATATGCATAAATTTAACAGAGCCAACACTCCAGCCTGGACTCAGAAATTCGCTAGGACATCAGCTGATTCTGACCACTTCTACATGTTTAGATTACCTGGCTGTAAAATCTTCTAACCTAAACTCTGGGCTATGGAGCAACTGTCTGGCCTGCAGGGTGCTCTGGCAATCTCAAAACAAATGGATAGGCGGGCAGGTGGAATCTATTGGTACCTAAATACCTTTTCTGACAATCACATTACCCATTTTACACAACAGCTTTCTCAGAACTGTAAGAAGTTAGTGACAACATTTTCTGTCAATAGATGCATTTTATATGAGGGACATAAAACAGATGATGTCTGCTTAAGACTAACCCAGCAAGTGTGTTGCAGGTCAATAAAGCTCATGCTTGAATATTTTGCTGAATTTGGTCCTCTCAGAGTAAAGGATTTAATATTTGTGTTTTCTTGCTATTATTCATATTTTCCTTGCTGTTATCATCTCACTCATCTGCTGCTTATGTTTGTTTCACCATTTGTTAGCCAAAGCTGGAGCTGGAACGGGACTTCCTTACATCATATATGTTTTTAACTCATCCTTGAACAATTACTACCAAGACGCAGCAGCATAGCTGTCATCAACACTATATATATATATGTCTGAAAAGTTACAGGCTTGAAACAAAAAAGTCAACACAGAATCACTTACAACATAAAAATAAACTAGGCAAGCATGAAGTCTGAGGTTACAAAGACTTTGTCTTTTTCCACTGGCTATTTAGGGTCTTAAATTCCAAGACAGGAGGAAGCCTCTTAAATGTATATTTGGAGGCACTGTTAAAGAAATCGGACTCTATCTCTAGGACTTCCTTGAATACTTAAGGCTGGGATCTGACAGGTGCTGTAATCATCCACCAGCAAAAGGGACCCTCCCTGTTCTGGCCTGTCTGAAAATCTTTCACAGCAGGGGTCATAAAGATGCGTAATGAAAGACAGCTTACCACTACTATAGGTGAATTGAAACTCAGTGCCCAAAATAGACTTGCTTTAGAAAACAGATTAAGTAATGGATCCCCTCTAGATTACCTCGAAGTAAAATAGCCCATGTGTTTACTAATCTCTCAACCATGCAAAAATGTCACAAACATCAAGGTAAATGTCTCATTAACGGTGCACTTGTACTCTGCTTTCCCATTTGGGGTCCTAAAGTCTGCTTACGTTGAGAATTCTATGGCTGAAATAAACAGGACTTACATTGAGATCTGGAGTGGCTACATTTTAAATGACTATATACTGTAGCAGGTATCTTTTACATTAATTTGCTGTTGTTTTGCTCTAGTTATGAAGCGTTTCTGCACAAAAGGAAAAAAAACACAAACCCAAATTCTCTGATTTTGTCATTACAGCACAGATCCTCTCCATTGCAAAAATCCAGTCTTTTAAGATCAAGAAATTAATTTCTGATGTTAATAAAACTTTTTTTTTTCATTTCACTGTCAACCTTAGCAAAATAAAGAGTGTTTTGATCTAAATTCCTGGCTTTCATCAAAGAAACCTTCGTCTTTGTATGTGCAATTGAGGGTTTTATGTATAGTCTTTTAATTGACTGAATCTCAGGGGAACTGAAGAAGTTGCTCAATATTCTCAAGATTTAACACAAGGTATTGATAGCTTGCCCAGCAGAAATGATCTTTATCAATTTACTGATACTGAAGCTAGGCAGCAGCTGCATCAGAGACTTTCAGATCAGACAATGCTATTATGAGCATCTAGCTTGGCCTGACACAGTGAAATACAATAATTCTATCCTGCAATTTGGATGCCTGAATCCCTTACAGGCACCTTCACCTAACCCCGTGGTCTGAACCCAGTATGAGTTTTACACAGACTCCAGCAAGCAGACCCAAGGTTTGCATGCACAAGGTGAATACTGTGCAGGCTGCTGCTGATTCAGTAACACATTTTGATTCACAAAGCAGTGCCAAGTACATACGTGCCTTGTAGTGACTGTACAGTAGCAGGCAAGGAGTGCCTTTCTTTGGAGGCTCCTATGGGAAAGCATGACCAAGAAATGAACGCTGACATCAGAGTCCACCCTGTGAACTGTTTGGCATTGTGTCTCTTGGCGTCCTGATAAAGCCAAATATATATACAAAAAGAGTATTTCTCCTTTGTGAGGAAGGTGAATTTGCTTCATTATTAACAACTGGCATAACTAAAAGTTGTACTATTCTAACAATGCTTTCATGGAAATCATCAGATTAACAAATGACTGATACCTACATACTACACCTAATGATCTGGGTATTAACTGTAGCACTAGAGATCACACTCCTTTCTCAGACTGAATAATGCCTTAGATCTCAAATTAGAAGAACATAGCAAAATATGCTTCAGTTTTCTCTATTCTGAAAAGTATTTAGGCTAGCATTTACTATAGTTATGGTACACAGATCTAACTTTTATAAGATCTAGACACTTGACTGAAATTAATCAGGTTCTTATGTCCTGTTTTGAACTGGGTCTTTACTCAGCAAAGAACACTGGTGACCTCCGTGTTTACATAAAGTAATTTTTCTTCCTCCAAAATCCTGTGGCAAAGTTCATCCACATGGCTATTAATCAGCTTTCATGTATCTCTGAGAGTACCAGGGGCCAAAGATAGTTCATCCCCTTATGAAGTCAGGAGGCAAAGAGAAAGAAAAAGCTTATTTTGTTACTATTGCGCAATAGGGGCAAATAGATATCCAGAAAACCAACATTCACTGTGAGTGCCAGAAGATAGCAATATTATCTGCAGCCTGTTCAATTTTGCACCCTCTGTTGTGTAGCTGCTATGAGGACAAAGGAAGCAATCAGGTGGCATTGATTGATACAGGACATGGAACCAGTGACAGGGGTCAAACTGAAGTCAGGTTTGCTTGAAACACGTAGGATGCATCTCACAGCATCATCTCTTTCAGAAATCCCCTCTCATGTGCAACGCTCAAACATTGCCACATAGTAATTCTAGGTAGCTTTTCCTCAGAAGATTAACAAGCAAGAGAGGGAGACACAGAAAGTTTGTACCTAACATGGAATGATTTGGGATGTTGTTTGAAAGAATTAGCACATTTAGAAAAACCCAAACCACACATTGCAAAACCCAGTATCTATCCAGATGGCAGTAATAAAGGTTTGATCACAAACGTGCTCATTTTTCCCTGTACTGGGCTTGGCTGAGACGGAATTATTTTTTCTCATAGCCCTCCAAGTGCTCTATTTCGTATTGGTAGCTGGGAACACAACAGTGATTGTGTTGATAACACTACAGTGTTTTGGCTACTGCCGAGCAGTGTTCCCACAGCGTCCAGGATGTCTCTCCAGCATTTTCTCCCACACCAGTGTCCTATGGGTGGACAAGGTCCTGGGAGGAACATAACCAGGAAAACTGACCCAAACTGACCAAAGGGATATTCCATACTATATGACATCTGCTTGGATACAAAGCTAAAAGGAGGAGGGGGAAGCATTTGTTGTGACATTTGTTTTCCACTACTGAAGCCCTACTTCCTGGGAAGTGGCTGAACATCATCTGCTGATGAGAAACAAAGGACAAATCTTTTGTTTTCCTTTGCTTCATCCACAGCCTTTGCTTTATTAAGTTGCCTTTATCTCAACATAACAGGTGTTTTGCCCTCTCATTTTCTGCATCTACATCCTGCTGGAGGAGAGTGATAGACCAGCTAGGAGGGCACCACGCAGCCAGTCAGGGTCAACCCACCACAGTCCCCTTCACTTTTAAAGGTTACAAAGAGCTGTGCCTCTCTCTAGACACTGGGGGATGTGGTCACATCAGCAAATAGTGCAATACCACACAAACAGATCTGCAAAGAGAAACACCTGGTGCTGAGAGCCTAATTCCACCCTCCATATATTTTTGTGCTTTACTCTGAACTAAGCGTAGTTGGACGCAATGGACTAAAAACCTGAAGTGTCCTCCAGATGTATACCTTGCAATTAGTTTAATTCAAGAGGAATCCAATTTGGGTGTCCAGTTATTGCTTTGCAATAGAAACTCAAGCAATTTTGTTGAAGGGGGGACATTTGTAGCAGCAGCTTTGATAACACCTCCTCATTGAAAATAAATTGATAATACAAATCAACCTCACATATGAGATCCACAGATCAGCTTTGTCTGGAACCTTTGTGGAAACCAGAAGTGCTGAGCACAGGAAACCTTTGAAAACATCTCATTTTTATGTGCCTGTATGGAAGCTGAATTCTTGAATATCTATTCAACCTTAGTGCTGCGGCTTTGAATTCAGCAAAA